TATTATTGGGACGGATTGGGAAGGACACGGCAGCTTACCTGGACGACATCATGATCTACACGCAGAAGGGAACCGACCACCAAGCGGCTGTCATGGGAGTATTGGAGACACTTAGCAAGCATCAACTTTGGCTGAAACCGGAAAAATGTGAATTCTCTCGACCAGAAGTGGAATACTTGGGACTTTTGATATCATGTAACCGGCTGAGGATGGACCCGACTAAAGTCAAAGCTGTATCTGAATGGCCACCGCCCAAGAATGTGACCGAACTACAGCGTTTTATTGGCTTCTCAAACTTCTACAGATGATTCATTGACCACTTTTCAGGAATAGCTCGACCTCTCCACGACTTGACCAAGGACAAAACTCCCTACGTCTGGGACAACCTTATCCCAAATCTGCGACAAGGATCAAGAACTCCACCCGGTGGCGTATTTGTCACGGTCATTAGTCCAATCCGAAAAGAACTATGAGATTTTTGACAAGGAATTGCTGGCAATTGTGGCGTCACTATCTAGAGGGCAACCCAAATCGACTACAAGCAATTGTCTACACCGACCACCGGAACCTTGAAAGCTTCATGACAACCAAGCAACTGACACGGAGGCAAGCGAGATGGGCCGAAACCATGGGATGCTTCGACTTTGAGATTGTTTTCCAACCGGGCCGTCAGTCATCCAAACCGGATGCTCTGTCCAGACGACCCGACCTGGCACCTTCGAAGGAGGACAAGCTCACCTTTGGACAACTTTTGCGACCCGAGAACATCACCCCCGACACTTTTGCTGAAGTGGCTGAATTTGACTGCTGGTTTGAAGACGAGTCTGTGGATCTGGATGACGCCGAACATTGGTTCCAAGTGGACATTCTTGGTGTGGAGGAGCCCAACACTCCGTCAGAGGATATTCCAACAGACAGCGAACTGATCAGCCAAATCCGATCTCTGACTCCATCTGATTCCAGACTGACCGAATTGATTTCAGCCTGTGAGAACCCAGTGTCCAGTCGAATGAAGGAGGTCACCAAGCATTACTCGGTGAAGGACGGGGTGCTCTACAGGAGCGGACGGATTGAAGTACCCCGGAATGAAGACCTCAAGACCAAAATTCTGAGGAGCCGCCATGACAGCAAGTTAGCAGGACACCCAGGAAGATCAAAAACGCTCTCGCTGATACGCCGCAGCTTCACGTGGCCATCCATGAAAAGCTTTGTCAACCGCTACGTAGATGGCTGCGACTCTTGTCTTCGGGTCAAATCCTCAACCCAGAAACCATTTGGGACGTTGGAACCGTTGCCCATCCCTGCAGGCCCGTGGACGGACATCAGCTATGATTTGATAACAGACCTCCCCCTATCCAACAATTGCGACAGTATCCTCACTGTGATTGACAGACTGACTAAAATGGCCCACTTCCTTCCTTGCAACAAGTCCATGAACTCTGAACAGCTCGCAGATCTTATTTTGAAACAGGTTTGGAAACTCCACGGCACACCAAAGACAATTGTCTCGGACAGAGGAAGTGTTTTTATCTCTCAGATCACACAAGAATTGGACAAGCAACTTGGAATCCGGCTCCACCCTTCGACTGCCTACCACCCTCGAACTGACGGACAATCCAAAATTGCAAATAAGGCGGTGGAGCAGTACCTACGGCACTTTGTTCAGTACCGACAGGACAACTGGGAACCCCTTTTGGCAACAGCGGAATTTGCGTACAACAACAATGATCACGTCTCAATTGGAGTCTCACCGTTCAAGGCCAACTACGGTTTCAATCCTTCATACGGCGGGATCCCATCAAGTGAACAGTGTCTACCGGCGGTTGAAGAGCGACTCAAACAAATTGATGAAGTCCAGTCAGAACTCAAGTTATGTCTAGAAGCAGCTCAAGAATTGATGAAGACCCAATTCGACAAAGAAGTAAAGGACACCCCAAGTTGGAACGTTGGCGAGGAGGTTTGGTTGAACAGCAAGAATATTTCGACAACAAGACCCAGCCCCAAGCTGGACCACCGATGGCTGGGACCATTCCAAATTTCTAAGAAAATATCCCAATCTGCGTACAAGCTGACTTTGCCATTATCCATGCAGGGTGTTCACCCGGTGTTTCATGTTTCAGTACTGCGGAAACACAACCCAGACACCATCTCTGGAAGGCGCCATCCATCACCAGAACCAGTACAGGTCAACAATGAGGAGGAGTGGGAAGTGGAAGGCGTACTGGACTGTCAGAGAAGGGGGAAGAAGGTCGAATACTTGGTCAGCTGGAAAGGCTTTGGACCGGAGGAGAACTCGTGGGAACCCGAGGTCAACTTGGAACACTGTCGAGAACTGGTCGCCGAATTCAACATCAAGTTTCCGGATGCGGCGTCAAGACACAAGAGGTCACGGAGAATGAAGTGAGAGGGCAAGCTCTTTCCCACTGGGTTTTTTAACGCTGCCCGGGGAAAGAATGCAGAGCCAAAAGAGGAGGAATTTTTCTATTATTTTATTTTTTTTTTATCCATAGTTGAATTTTTTTTCTAGAACAACAACGGGGGCGGCTTGGGCATTAAAGGGGGGATAGTGTTATGAGCTGTGGAGGACTGGAACTGGGGACGTCACATATGTAGAGAGCCTTTTACGTACATGTCACGAACTTCGAACTTGGAGTTCGTTCGAGATCCGAACCTTGTACATTCCTCATCTTGCAATCTACCATTACGAACCAGAACCCAGAAGATCCTATCCTGCTCCCCTCAGAAAGACCCTAACAATGCTTGACTTCATTTTTTCTCTACATTCATTTTGTTGACTTTTTTTTCCTTATAGGATTGGAACTTGAATCATATTTGTAATTGTTTTCATATATTCTCTACATTCCTTTTTTTAACACTTTTTTCTTATAGAAATGGAACTTGAATCATATTTGTACTTGTTTTCATATATTCTCAACATTCCTTTTGTTACATTTTTTTCCTTTCAAGGTTATTTATTAATTGTGCCAAGGTGAGTGAATTGCTGTTACACTTATGTTGGGGGTCGCTACGCCCTCTCAGGGAGTAAGGAAGTGATAATTTGTAGTGAATCTCTATATAATTCACTGAGGCTGCTACAACTTGTTAGGTGATAGCATGTTGTGTATTGCCAGGGCACTACGCTCCACTACCTGCTAAAATGTAGTAGCTAATGTAAATATATAGCGCGCTTTCACAAGTCCAACACTAAGATCAAGCCAAGCCAAATGCTCAACCCTCAACTTGACATATGAGATTCACAACAAATGATCAGTTTCTTACTACCTGACAGGGACCCTATTTGCACTGAGCCCGCTACCGAGATCACTCCCTGCTCAAGCCCTTCTACTCAACTTTTTGCGGCTGGAAGAACGGAGGTGGCTCATCTTGGTGGGGGTTTCTTTTTCACGGTAATGGGAGTCTAGATTTGCAATCATCCAAAAAGCGGTATCTCTACCTGTTAAATAACAGAAAGGCAGAGGCAAGACTCGGTAGTATTGTGATTTGTCCAGCTGTTTCATTTCACCGGTATTCAGGCGTTCACAGTTATGTTTTGGTGCAATCCTTCTCGTAGCGCCTTTGATCTTAGGTGCTGAGGTTGCTTTTCAAATGATAAGCAACTTTTCTGTGCTTTTCTTGCCTTAAGAAGGGACCCCTCACCCCATTTCATTCCATGACACCTACCAATATCCCACAACCACTTAACAGAAAACAGATTCCATCAAAACATTTAAAAACTCTTTTGCAACCATGCCTCCAAGGAAATCACCACGAAAAAATTGCGGAAGACCCGCAAAGTGCCGTGGTAGGCCTGGGTGCGGCCATAAGGGTCCAATGACTCAAAACCCGGTTGTGCAAAGCCCCACAGCTCCTCCTTTGCCGGCTGGGCATGAGACTCCCCCTGCTGGCATGTGCTATCTCACAGCAGCTCATCTCAGGCATTATCTTCACAACTAAAATCTGGAATGACTCTTATTTGAAGTCGCAGGGACTGTTCTGTACCAAAATGTCATATCTATGCTATACCCTACGCTGTATCAGGTGTTGAGGTGCAGCAAACTGCTGTTACACTCATGTTGGGGGCCGCTACGCCCTGTGAGGGAGAAAGAAAGTGATAATTTGTAGTGAATCTATGACTCCCTGAGGCCGCTACAACCTACCAGGTGATAGCATGTTGTGTATTCCCGGCACACTACGGCCTAGCACCTGCTACAGCGTAGTAGTATGTAAATATGGAGCGTGCAACGTCCTAGCAGGTGAAAAAATATAGTGATACCCCTTGGAACGCCAGACACCACCCAATGACATGTTCTAGCTTGTAGCAGCCATGCTAACCAGCAACAATCCCATCCTCACAACTACAATCTTGAAGCGCTCTGATTTGATGTTGCAGGGACTGTTCTGTACGGGACTGTTATATCAATACACTATGCTACGCCGTATCAGGTATTGAGGTGTAGTTGGCTGCTGTTACACTTGTTTTGGGGGTCACAATGCTCCCAGGGAGAAGGAAAGTGATAATTTGTAATGAATCTGACTCACTGAGGCCACTACAACCTACCATGTGATAGCATGTTGTGTATTGCCGGGGCACTACAGCCTAGCACCTGCTACAAGGTAGTAGCTTATGTAAATATGGAACTCACGGAGGCCGCTACAACCTGCCAGGTGATAGCTTGTTGTGTATTGCCAGGGCATCACAGCCTGGCACCTGCTACAAGGTAGTAGCCTTATGGAGCGTGCAAAGCCCCAGCAGGTGAAGAAAATGCCCTGGGAACGCCAGACGCCCCCGCTGACATGTGCTAGCTCGTATCGGCTATGCTAACCACCAACAATCCCATCCTCACAACCAAAGGGTGGAACGACTCTTATTTGAAGTCGCAGGGACTGTTCTGTACCAAAATGTCATATCTATGCTATACCCTATGCTGTATCAGGTGTTGAGGTGCAGCAAACTGCTGTTACACTTATGTTGGAGGTTGCTACACCCTGTGAGGGAGTAAGGAATTGAAAATTTTTGTAGTGAATCTCTAACTCACTGAGGCTGCTACAACCTGTCAGGCAATAAAATGTTGTGTATTGCTTGGGCACTACAACACAGTAGCCTGTGTAAATATTAGTGCAAAGTCAACATGTGTGATGCACAAGCTACAGCTCAGCACGTGCTAAGATGTACACAAGGGGGTAAATACAGCTTGCCACCTGCTAGACCGCGCTGATCAGTTTCCCTTTGAACCAACTACATCTTAACACATACGAGACCATGTTTCCATCTATTTAAACCCACCACATACCAGCCCGCATCTCCATCCCTTTCCTGTCAAAGACGCACTCCCCGGCCTCACTACATCTCAACAAGTGCTAGACTAAATCTCCTTCAAACACCCACTACATCTCATCACCTGCCAGATTGTATTTCCATCCCCATCATCCCACTACATCTCAACACCTCCTAGACCCCATCTTCATACCCTTCCTGCATTTTTAATTGCTCTCTACTATGACGAATCTTTGCGGGAGACCCCCAAGCACCGTGGTGGGCCTGGGCGCGGCCATAAGGGTCCAATGACTCAAAACCCGGTTGTGCAAAGCCCTACAGCTCGTCTTGAAAGTATTTTGAAAGAAGAAAACCTAGCCACTAACCAAACTTCAGACACAGCAGCTCCCAGGAAAAATTTCCTAGTCACCAAACCATCTTTTGATACACCAGCTCTTCTTAAGAAATTTTCAGCCACCAACCCAACTTTTGATGAACCAGCTCCCCTTGGCTCAAATTCTGACACACCAGCTCTCAAAAAAATGTCCCAGTCACATCCACCAGCTCTGCTAGAGAAATTCTCAGCCAGCAACCCAATTTCTGATGAGCCAGCTTCCCTCGGAGCTCCCCTCAGCTTAAATTCTGAAACACCACCTCCCAACAGAAATGTCCTGGACAGCAACCCACCCTTTGATCCACCAGCTCCACTCAAGAAACTTTCAGCCACCAACCCAATGTCTGATGATCCAGCTTGTCTTGGCTCAACTTCTGACGCATCAGCTCCCAGCAAAGATGTCCTAGTCACTGACCCAAATTTTGATTCACCAGCTCCACTCAAGAAATTCTCAGCCACTGACCCAATGTCAGATGAACCAGCTCCCCTTGAAAATGTTACAAACCCAGAGCTATAACCCAAGTGTCTTTGAATACCAGCCAGACCAAACTCCAATTATAGATCCACTAGGTGGCATTTTCAATGCTGAGCCTTCCACTCAGTCAAATATGCCTCAGTCAACTGCTGAAATAACAAAGGATTATCTACAACCTATATAACTAACTTATCTGGACCCTCAGTCCATCAAACCACATTCTTGGTCTCAATAGCAGCATATATCAACCAGTCCTGATGAAACACCTTTCAACTCACCCCCACTATATGAAATGCCTCACCAATCAAAGTATGAAAAAGTTGATCCTCTAGAGCCTCAAACTGTTAATCCTCTTGATATATTCTTTCCAGCTGCAAATCACTCATCTCCCCCAGTGGATGAAATCCTAGTTGGTGACAACAAATCCAATCCTTCCAACACTCCAAAATCACTATCACTAAGAGTTACAAAATCAAAAGGAGTGGCCAAAAATACTAGCAAACCACTGGATGTCAATCCATCAATCCATTCCAAGACCCAACAACCCTTGAGATTTCCATCAAACAATATGTTCTCCACCAAGAAACTGATTTCCCATAAAAAACAACATGCCAAAGATACTAGCAAAGATCATAGTCAGCAAGCATCAGGTAAACATCCAAGAGATCTCAGGGAGGGATCAGTTGATGATAACTGCTTGGAAAAATAGCAATCAACCTTCCTTTATCTGCTGGTCCTCCCAGATTTAAAATAATGATTTGATATATAAGCATTAAGATAATCATTTAACAATTTAAATGTGCATACAACTTTTGAAAACTTCATAATCAGTCATGCTACAAAATCCTCATGTCAATGTTCAAGGAATCATCATTAAATTTCACTTTTGATAGGGTTGTCTAAGGCCCAGTTGGATGGAAGCATCTCAAGATGTAGATTGCTTACAGATGTTAACTACTTTACGTACTCAGAGAATATGGATTTCATTGAGTAAACTCTGTTGTGTGATGTACACACTGATTGGGTGTTTTGCACTCCCATGTAGTATGGCAGGAGTGAAATATTCACATGTCTCAGTCCAAATGTGGTCCACTGTGCTGAATTAAAATTCATCACATGTCACCAACTTTCACTCCACAACTGCTCACCTCACCAACTTCAGCTCTACACACAGCTCACCTCACCAACTTGGACTACACTCACCTCTCACCAACTTGAAGACTACACAACTATACATTTCACCAAATTCAACTCTTCATCTCATACAACAACACATTTCACCAACTTTGACTCCACACCTCATCAACTTGAACATTACACAACTACACATTTCACTCACCAACTTTGACTCTACACCTTATCAACTTGAACATGACACAACTACATATTTCACCAACTTTGACTCTACACCTACACCTCATCAACTTGAACATTCCACAACTACACATTGACACACCTCACCAACTCCAACACTACACCACACAACTTTCATAATTACACACCCCACACTAACTATACATTTCATCAAATTTGACTACACACCTCACCAAATATACATTTTAATACACAACTATAAATGGAACACCACTGCCAGCTTATAATTTGCTTAGGTGAACTGCAGCCCAGCCAGGCTTGGTGGGGCACAACCAATTTAAATTGATTGAGCCCAACCCAATTTAAATGCTATCCAATGAAAACTTGGGTGACAATGGCCCAATGGATTTGTTATCCAGCTCAATCTTGCCCACACAATATCCAAGGTAAAATCAGGGTCCTATCCCACCAATGAAATCACATTATTGGTTACTAATCACCTGAGGCAAACTCGGGGAGTTTAAACCAAGGAATTACTGCTTGGCTGAATTTTCAACCAAGCATTCTTATCCTTGGTGCCAACCAACCAAATCCACCCTTGGTTGGTCACCCACTGTGCTAAGATTGATCAAATCCATAGACTTAGTTAAAAACATTTTATTACACATAAATAGTGTTTAAGATGTTAGAGAAGAAGGGGTAAATTATAGAAGAATGTATAATAATTACTGGGTTAAAACATAGCTAAAACAAAGCACAAATCAGGCCTAAAATACACAACTCCTCATGAATAATAATTATACAAATAGACGGTAAAACACATAAAAGCTACTACATCCATCTTAGACTGATAAATCAAGCTACTGATCAGAAAGTGCTTCACAGACTAGTTCTAGAAAATAGCTCTTATACTAATTAGTCTAAGATTACCATTCTCATAGCAATTAATCTAAGAATAGGCCTCATATAGTAGATTTACAACCTCTTGTATTAGAAAGGCACTTAGAGACTAATTCATATCAGATTAGGCCATCTCAGAGTAGTAAAAACCACTCTAGAAGTACCCTTCTCAGACGAACTTGTGTTCAGGCCAAAAACCCATGTACTGCAGAACAATTTGTCTATAAATAGAGGCTCTTCTGGCCCATGTTTTCCTTTTCCCTCCTCATGCTAGCTACAGAATATTAATCAGAGATATTACTCAGCCTTCATCATCCTTTGATTAAGAGATCCAGAGATTATTGGAGCCCTTGAACTTCCCTTATATCATATTTTGGCCATATACAAGTAATTCAGAGATATTGCTTAGCCATCCTCAACTCTCTTGCAACAGATATCAGAGAAATAAGCGTACCCTTTATCAGAGCCCAGAGAGACCAGAGAACCAGAGAGAATTTATATCAGAGAAACCCTTCAGAAACCCTTACTCCCCAGAAAACCCCAAAATCTCCTTACCTCTTCAACAAGTTTTCTTAAGCAAAATTAACAGTAGTATCAACACTAAGATAAATTTAGGAATAAGCCACACTCTTATTTTTTTTTTCTTAGTGTAACTTTCCTGTAAGCTAGACAGGAGGGCAGTCTCACCCACACACCAATACTAATTCTACTATCCCATAGTCTTATTAGCTATTTTATCCCCTCCAAGCTCTTTACTCACTTGCTGAGCAGTTCCACACCACCAAGGAAAATCAACCTTGGTTGGTCACCCACCAAGGAAAATCAACCTTGGTTGGTCACCCACCAAGTAAAATCAACCTTGGTTGGTCACCCACCAAGTAAAATCAACCTTGGTGTGTAGCAAACCAATGAATGTGAAATCATCGGGTGTTACGCAGCCCAAGGAAATCACATTCATATGTATAAGAAGAAAAAATTAAAAACAAAAACAAAATGAAATGAAATGCAGAGAAATAAAATATAAAAAGGAAAAAAGACAAGGTAGGAATCGGATTTTTGGCTGTTTGTCTCAAGGAGATCCACTAGTCCCTCTGGAAAAATTAAGCAAGCAAGAAATGCAATCCATACCATTAATTAAATCTCATGACATTAATATTGACTTCTGTGTCAAGATCTTTTGGTTGAATATTTCAGTTTGAATATGTTAAGATCACAGTATGTCGGGAAAAATTAAGCAAGCAAGAAATGTCAGCCTTAGAGCCAGCCAAGCTGGCCAAAAGACTGCTTAAGTCCTCCTTTTTAGCCATGTTCCTACTGTAACCCTTTTATATCAAAATTTTATTACATTCTGACCTCAGAAATGAATTCCTCATGTGATTTCAACCTTAGTCACCACTACACACTTTTACACTACTCTTCTCCTTCATAGACTTTGTAATATTTCACCGTACCTTGTGAAATATCAACCAAGTTGGAATTCCAACCCTCTACCACATGTACATGTTGTGATTATGTAATCCAACTCTGAAAATTCTCTCAGAGGATACTGAGTTCACATTTTCAGGATCTTCAGACTCCAGACCAACTCAGAACCACAACAACCAGAACCAGATCAAGCCATCACTTATCAACCAGAAGTACTCCACTTTTCCCACCTTTCCCACTACACAGTGTCATTGGTGTCATTAGTAAGTAACTTCTTATAAGTTTTAGCTAGCATCTTTCTGCTCGTTCTCTTTCTCAGTTTCTCTCAACCTCTCTTCATTCCTCATCAAACCAAATCCCTGATCAAAGAAAGCAAGCTCTAGCTTCTATTATCTCAACTCTTCTTGTTTGGTAGTACAACTGAAAACTACATAGGTTTCCCTTTAAAGAGCCTTGATCTTTGATCTAAAAAATTGTGGTTGACCTGATTCATCAGTGTCAATAACCCATTTCAGTTTCTGTTGATTTGGAGGCGTCAGAGTTAGCTCCGCTTATAACAGCTATCCTAAAAAGGAAAGTAAGACTGTCAACAGCCATCCAAAAGGGACAGTAAGACTGCCAGAACTTAATCATCTTCATAAAATAAATAAAGAACAAAAATATTGCCTATTATCTCTTTCCCTCAGTCTTCTTTTCCCCTTTTTCTCTACTTTTAATTGTATCCCTCTTTTCTTAAGAAATACATTTAAAAGTGCCCCCCAAATTCTTGTGTCCTGTTGTCACTATTGAGACCCAGGCTCACAAGAAATGCACAAAATTGTGAAGTAGTAGGTGGTTAGAATTGAGTCACATGTAATAGCACTCACATGCAGATTATTTTTGGTGTTGTTGCAGAGATGAACAATGAAAAAAATTCAAGCAGTTTCATCAAGTTAGATCAAACCAAAAAAACCACAGAAAGTTGAGATGATGACTGACAGGTTGGATGCACTAGCTGGGGAATCAAATTTCTGACATGTGGGATACAGGTGGAGCCACCAACAAGAACAATCCCACATACATTGGCCTTATTGATCTTAGAGTCCCAAAGGAAGTTTTTGAGACAGGGTAAATTTGGCATGCTTGCAAGCAGTTCACAGACAATGAACAGCCCAGAAGACAGGTCTGAGGGGTGGATTAAATTTTGCATTAGTATATCAATGAAAACAATTGGATAGGGAGTCAAATGAACTACCAACCTTTTTGTTTTTGTGCTTGAATTTGGAGACAAAGTGGTTGATGAGACGGTTGGGAGACACATCAAAATTACCACCTCTGAGGTCTAAAATCAACACAATTTGCTTTACAGTGGTCTTATTGTCAAGAGCGGTGGGCTCATTGATGATTTGAAGAACATTCAAACCAGCAATGAGACCAGGGTCTTTGGTTGCCTGTCACTGAGATTCATTCAAGTAGGCAGGAATGGTGATGACTTCATCTGAAGCTTGGCATCAAAGGGGGGTCAAAATGAGTGTGCCAGCATTAGCCCTAGTCATGTGGCCCAGATCTGATAGTAATCCTGAGATGAGGATGGAAGACCTTGGCATCCTCAAAATTTTGTCTGATTACAAGCTTGGCATCAAAGGAAGGTTGAGATGAGTGTTCCAGAATTAGCTCTGAGCATGGGGGCCAGGTCTGATAGTAATCCTGAGCTGAGGAAGGAAGACTTGACATATCTGAGTATATACCTGTTGAGATCCAGTAAGTGAGTGAGGGCTGTTGTTCTGATTGCTGGTGGGCATGATGTTTCCACTAGTATCTTGGAGTAGGATTGGGTTTGGGTGGGGTAGTTGATGGAGGTTGTTCTTGAGTATGAGTTGTACTAAAAATTACACATACTTGGGTGTCCTCCTGGGGGAGGAGGTTGGGTGCAGCCAGAGTTGACAAAGGAAGAATGGATGGGTGAAGTGGTGGGCTGCAGCATGTAGGGTACAGCCATGAAACACTCATGTTTGCACCCCTCTCCATTATAGCCCTTTCCCTTCACCCTAAACCACATTCATACACTAACCACTAATTCTGCTCTCCATGCAATAGGGACAATAATATATCCAAGGAGGACATGGAGGGAACTTTTTTTAGGGGTGTTACCTTGTTACCTCCTCATTAAAAATGGGTAACAGGTGCCACACCCTGACAGCAAATCAAGATTGTGTCCAAAGGTGTTTTAGGCCATTTGGAAACTTTTTTTTTTCCAGGGGTGTTACCTTGTTACCTCCTCACCAAAATTGAGTAACAGGCACCCTGCCCAGAGCCCTGTGGGCCCTGAGTATAGTACTAGGGCACATTTCAGGTCTTTTTCAGTGAAAAAATTGGCTCAGTTACTCATTCCTCAGACCCCTCAGACCCTCCACCAAGACAGGGGTCTGAGGGGTCTGAGGAATGAGGGCTCATTCCAGGTGCTCCTGCTGTTAGGATCAAGATCTGAACCTCAGCACCAAGGGTCTTTGGTCCAGTCATAGGGGAGGAAAAACCAATTATAGCTGAATTGGGATTGAGATAATTGGAGAAGAGTTAACAAAAATCAAAACAGTGGAGGGTGATAGGTGATTTGGGTAACCTATGAAGAAGGATGGTGCCAATGTCAGATTTTTGATTTTAGATATATTTGATAAAAGAATAGGCCTTACGTTGAGGTAGATGAATTTGGCATCAGTTTTGTCAATAGTGCCAGAGATCCAAACACAGGAGGTGATTTGTATTGGAGGAATCAGTGTGTTGAGGGCATTAGGTTCAATAGTCAGAAACCAATCTTGAGCCTGAAGAGGATGCAGTGTCAGCATCAGGCTTAGAACTTTGGTTTAAGGAAGAATCAAACTTTGATATTGGTAGGGTCATGGGCAAGAACTTGGGGTGAAGTAGAATGAATCTTAACCCAGGCAGAGATTTGGGGGAGAGGGAATGACTCAGTAGGAGGAATCATGATAGCAGGAGATGTAATTGGTGGGGTAAATTTGTGTGAAGTGTTGGATCTGAGGAGGTTATGAGATGATGAATTGATCAAGTGGATGAAGCAGAGGAACAAGTTGTGGAACTTCAAAGAATATTACAGGGGTTAATGAGGATGTTACCTTTTTTCTAGTGCTGGAAATAGTGATTGTGTGAAAATGCATAGAACAGGGCTGGTGTAAGACTCAAAAGTGATTGTGAGAACCCTTTTGCTAAATGTTGAAGGGTATGGTGGAGTTTCAAGCTTTTCCCTTCTGTACTATCAGATAATAAGACCCACCAAGCTTAGCTTGGTAAGTTTTAATCAAGTGATAATTAAGGGTTGGTTGGTTTAAGAACAAGTTGTTTGATCACAATTTAATTGTGTGAGGAAAGAGTTTTTGAGTGTATGAGAGTGAGTTTAATGTGTATTACAAATGTAAGGGTTGTTATAAGGTGTTATAAGAGTTGTTACTTTAATGTTAATGGTAGGGTGTGTAATGGTAGGGGTTTTGTGATTTGTAGATACTAAACTGAGGGGAAAACAACTGAAAGGAGAGTCTCCTTGAATAGACAACAATGAGGTATTTTGGCTCCAAGGGAGCAAGAGAATGAGAGATTTTGGCTGGTCAGAGCTTTACAATGAGTTAATTTAGCTGGCCTAACTATGCACCTGAGGCATTGCTCAAGAAAGCTATGTACATGAGAGGTTTTGGCTGGTTGTACAGCCTATATGATGTAATTTGAGTCATTGTAGATAGATTAGGCAGTGTATATGAGGGGTTTGTGCTAGCCTAGCAATCTGCATGATGTCATACAGAGTTCATGAGATATTTCAACTAGACTGACAGCTACAGCAATACTATCACATGACCTGACAAACTGCCTGATGTCACCTGTAGTTCCTGTTATGAAAGCTCCCATGCCATTTCTATTCATTGCATATTTTCTCACACTAGCTATTAGAATATTCTAAATTTATGGGTTTTGGTCTCTCAAAAACCCAAGTCTGTACTTAGATTATCCTATATATACTGGTAGTTCTGGAGAAATACATTTTCCCCTTGGGTGAGTTTCCTATCACTACTTCAGTTTCAAAGGCATACCACACTAAGGCTGTGTATGTCAACTGTCACAATATTATGATTCCATGTGTATACCTGTGTCATGTAGTTGATTGATTGTAATTAAGTGTTGTACATGTCCAGAGGTGGGGAACATCCAAGCCAGTAGAGTTACAGAGATGCCTTCAGTGATGACCAAGGGTGAAATGGGCCCTAGAATCCATTTCTTAGGTCCAAATGAGTGTTAGTTGAGAATAAACATAAGAAAAATGATGAAAAGAAAAGAATGATGAAGGGTAATAAAAAGCTTTGAGGCCCCATTTGGCAGCGTCATAAATTTAGGTGTGATATTGCCTGATTAATTCAATCAAAAATTAATCAATGCAAAATATGTTTCAAAATTGTTACTCAGGCAAGTTCAATTACTGGTTTCATCAATGCTGAGAACAAACTTGATATCTTAGGCCATCTTGAGCCCCATAATATTGATATTACCCTTTATATGGGTAAAAAGTGTAATATTGGTATTATGGTGCTGAAGATAGCCCATTATCTCAACTTTGCCTGTACTCAAATTGAAATCGGCAGTTGACCTTTTATTACATATTTCTGAGTGGTTTATTTTATATTGAATTTACAAGGCAATATTACACCTGAATTTATGACACTGCCAAATGGGGCCTGAATTTTGACACATTCACCTACCTAACTAGTTGGTTTTGAAAAAGGAATATTGGAGGGCAGGTAAGAGGAGGGGGCAGAATGTGTACATATTCCTATATTAGTCAGAGATTAAGACTTAGTCTACTTGATATAGGATATTTGTAGCCAGGGGAATAATTTTGAGACAAGCAGGATGGAGTCAATAAGGAAAATAGAAAGACAGAGAAATAGATTTTAGTGAAATTTCAGAGGACACATAGTTTGAGATGATATGCTTGTTGCACTATTACTATTAGTGAGAAAATTTTGTAAGATTTGGTTCTTTAGGTGGTTTGGATATTTTTTAGATATGCCAAGGAAAACCAGTCTGGTGGGATATCCTTCCAAGGATATTTTCTTGAAGCGGGATAATGACCTGAATCAGAATATTGTATTCTCTTCCTGGTACCAACCCTCCATTCAATGATTCTGGAATATTGTCTGAGACATTCAATATATTGTTGTTTGGAATAAATTCAAGTGATTGGTTCTGGACCAGCTTTCTAGATATCTGGCTGCTTTTTTAAAACAGTCTGATAGTTTGAATATATCATCTTTGAATTTTGTTTATCAGTGAGTGATCATTGAATATGAAACATTAGATGATTCAGCAAGTGCTAACATATAGGATAATTTCTTTTTCAAGGATTCTGGCATACTTTGGTTGGTGGATTTGTGATCTATCTGATTGGATGGGTGAGCCTCCCTCAAGTGGAATGAAATAAAATTGAAAACAAATTAAAGATTCCTGGACCCAATATATATAATTTGAATGTGATTCTCAAACGGTAGGCTGGCTACCTTGTCAATAAGCTAGGGTGTAGGTTTGAAACATAGCTGTGTAGTTAACCTCATCCTTTATTCATCTCTACATTGTCTGAACCCATTGATAAAAAGCTTCAGTATGAATATTGTTTTCACAAACAACTATTTATCTAGGTAACATCAGGGATACCTTTTTTGCTGAATTTCAAGGAAAGACATATTAGGGTGGTGACCTTGTTAGCTCCTTGTTGGAATTTCGCTCCTTGATCTCTTCTCCTCATCTTTCACATCACATGTCACTCATTGCTAGAACTGTTGTTGTCCCATTTCTTATTCACTATGCATCTGACTCTGCTCCCACAACTCATGCATATTTGTATCTAGATTATTCAAAGACAGTCTAGTACCAAGAAATAAAATCATCAGTCTTAGCTATTTTTGATCTGGTCCTAAGTGGACACTTAAGCCTCCATTTAGCCTTTCTCAAAGCGCACTTTAGCCCGCTTGTCTAAGTATAAATAGCATCTCTCAGACTTTGTCTGCTTTTGGCTCTGCCGACTTTTTTCCCTCATCGACTATAATTTCTACACTCCTCACAAAAATTGGGTAACAGGTCACATGCACTGAGCCCTGGGGGCCCTGTGCATGGAATTAGGGCCACCAGTCATTTTATAGCCAACCCCAACAAAAGTCCATCCCCCAAAGTTAAACCAATGTCAAAGCAGCCAGCTCAAGATAGCAGCAACTTGCCTGAGCTTTTCCTGTGTAGGGCCACCAATCATTTTTCAGCCAACCCTGAGGACACACCTTCCCCCAAAGCTTTGGCTCCATCACCTGTTTATTTTGATCCTCCTGGTGAGAACAAGCTCAACTTGGCCATCATCCTCTCACCCTTAACAAATCCACAGCCTAACCTTGACTGACAGCAGTTGAAATTTTCTAAAATATATGCCAAAGGAATCCATCTTTGCCATACATCTGGTAGATCATATAGTATGTCCTATTTCAAAACTGTTATCATTTTCCTCTCTGGCTATATATTTCATTCCTGACACTGACAATGTGCTTTGGTTAGGTAAACAAAAGACAAAGAATGATGGATTTTTATTTGTTGGATCCTTTTGTGTACAGAGCTGAAATTCATGACTAGGCTTTGTGGTGGATGGATCCTCATAGGCCCCCATATTCCACTCTTTCTACCCAATGAGATGGCTCATAGTTTGGATAATTACATCATTGCCTTCTTGAATTTTCATGGAATATATTTTGGATAGCATTGTAACATGGAATTAATTGATCATATTGTGTGCCTGTTCTATGTAGAGGCCAACACCAGGGGATTGATCCACCTTCAACTGGAAGAAGAAATTCCTCCAGCAGATTCCCAAAAGAAATTAGTGATTTTCCAACTTTACTTCTTCAGCCTTGCTTTGTAGTAGTACGTACCAGTTTTCAATCTTTCATGCATGAATATCAAACACTGAAAAATTGTCGTGCAACTGGTTGCAGTTGGAATGCAGGATACATCCACCATAACTTGGTTATTAGAGAGGATTATTTCTTTGCATAAATGTTTGAGTCAAGTAACTCTTGAGTAACACTTGAGTTACAAAACAAGTTTCAATTGAATTCATATTATGTTTGATATATTAGATTCATATTATGTTTAATATATCAGAGAACTTGGTGTCTTGGAAAAGATGTTTATTCCAATATGAATTTGAAAAGAAAAGAAAAGAAAAGAAAAGAAAAGAAAAGAAAAGAAAAGAAAAGAAAAGAAAAGAAAAGAAAAGAAAAGAAAAGAAAAGAAAAGAAAAGAAAAGAAAAGAAAAGAAAAGAAAAGAAAAGAAAAGAAAAGAAAAGAAAAGAAAAGAAAAGAAAAGAAAAAAAAAGAAAAGATGGAATCTCCAGCTGACTTGGTAGCAAATCCAGATGCCTGCAACAAAGTTTGAGGCCATATTGAATATATGGATAAAGTGCTTGCCATCTTGGGTGAATTGTGTGGTCAAACAATCCAAGACAGAGGTTTGTGAGAAGAAGGTTTGTGTATTATTTTAGAACCCCGAATTCAAAATTTCACTCACTGTTGGGTTAGGGTTCTGTTCTCTGAGCATGGGAGATGTTGTGCACACAGCCTCCACACGAGCAAACAACAAGAGGCAAGCTTTGACTGTCAGACACATAATTTGATGAGTTGAGGGTATCCCAGTCTAACTGGGATACACACGACCAATGCTTCTCAACCAAGTTTAAATTGACTTGATTCACTGCATCTGAGTTTAACTAGGTTGCCCTCAACCTAGCCAATTATGCTGGCAGTGGGATTTACTACATAAACCAGATTTATGTCTTGAGAAGAATGGGCATTTTGGCTGGAACAAACAAACAAATGCCAATAATTCTGCTTCCAGTTATAAAGAGATGAACACCTTGTTTTCACCAATGTTTATTTCTTTGTCTTTCCTAACATTATATTGAAGAACATATGTTCAACCCCTTCCCCAACAAGTTGAGTATTATAAGGGGGAAAGAAGAACCCTTCCTACTGGTGCAGCCAGTCTCCAACCTGATCTGAATGTTAACAGAAAAATCAGCAAGCCCTGATCTTTTACCTATGTTTTGACCAGGATGAGAGTGTAGAGTGTGTGCAATGTAGCTGTGTGGTTTCAAATTTCATTTTGGGTGAGTGGTTCAGTAAGGTGTGGCCTGTTAACTGAACAGTCCAGGAGTGGATGTCACAGACTACCAGGAGTGGATGTCACGGATTAGACTAAAACCCAGGGAAATTCGAAAAACCGAAGAAAACAGCAACAGACCACCAACACTCAACACTAGGATGACTGAACAACAACAACAACAGAGTAGCAGTACAACTAGCACTAATTATAGGAATCAAGACGAACAAGAACAAGAACAAGAACAAGAACAAGAACAAGAAAAGAATCAGGAAGAAGAACGATTAAAAGAAGAACGAGATGAAGAACATGGACAGGAAATCCAAGCTCAACCATCAAACATCATCGAGAACCCTTTCAATAACCACTGTACTACAGACCAACAGCAGCAGCAGCAGGATATCAGAAACAACTCAGAACAGACTCATGACCAAAGATGGTGGATCAAACAGGTACTATGGCCACCCTTCCCAACCCAGAATAACTCAAGACCACGCTCAGTCTCAATCGTAAGCCAACAAAAATGAAAAACACTACTTAACTCCATCGTCATCCATCACTAATCGAATCTCTTGTTGCATCATTTCAGCTTATGCAAAACCACAACGGTCCCTGTTCATTATTAGCAATCTGCAACGTACTCCTACTACGCGGCGCGATCACCCTCCCAGGCCCATCCAATCGAACCTCGATCTCATTCAGCAGCTTACTAACACTCCTCGCAGACTATCTAGTCCATCAACAACTTCAACCTCACCAACTACACTCAGCACTCTCCACCATCCCAATCACTCAGACAGGCCTTGACCTCAATCCAAGCTTCGCTTCTATCGATGGCTTCAGACCTACCTCTCACTCCGCCTCCTCTTCATCCTCCTCCTCCTCCTCATCCACTGTCCATGGCCTCGATCTCTTCACAGCCGTCGGAATCCCACTCGTTCATGGCTGGATTGCCGACTCTCAAGACTCGGATACCTGGGACGTGATCGTTGGAAAGTGTGGTGATTATGATAAGGCGGTCGAATTGGTCGTGACTGGCGAAGAACTATTAACAAAACAACTCGAGAACCCTCATCTGGAACTCAACCAGGAAGAACAAGATCTGCTGAGAGAGGGTGAGTTTGTATATCCAGATCAAGACTCACAAGATCATCTCATTAATCACACAAAAAAAAAAAATCATATCACACAGCTCTACTCGTCCGAAAGTTTCTTGATTCCACCTCGACCCAACTAAGTTACCCGGGCCTATTTCAGCTTGCGACTGGATTGACCACCGACTCCCTTGTAGCCCTACTCCGCAACTCCCATCTCTCAGTCCTCTACCGACGCCCACTTCTACCTGTCAATCTACCCACACCGGCCCCTCCCCCACTACCTCCCCCACCAGACCAGACAGATCCGGACTACGACCACGCGACGGCCTTGGAGGTTCATGCGGTCAGCCAGCAACTGATGGCTGCCGAACATGCCTGTACGGATCCAGAAGAGCTGCTAGATGACCCCCGCTTGCCCAAGCTCTTCACCCTCGTCACCGATCTGGCCTTCCTCAACGAACCACAGATCGTCTGGGAATCCCTCGAGGACGTCGAAGGTGGTCTGAGCGAATTCTACGACTGGAAACTCACTCCAAGTCGGCTCAAAAACTCGGCACCTAATCAGACATCTCATTCGAATCCGACACCCAACCAGTTCAATCAATCGACACACTCCACCGGCCCACCACGCTCTAACACAGATACCGAGTGAGTGCTTTTATCTCTACATCACTCGTCTTATGAAACAAATATTCTAACAGAACTTCTTTTTTACACTCTCCTTCTTCTAGTTTAAATCTAGCTCACCAATTACAAGAAGAGGAATACGAGCGAGTCCGTCGATCCGAACAGCCGCCCGCCCATCAACCCAACATCCCATCGGGAGGCGGCATACCTGCACCTCCTCCGCCCCGACCTGCACAGACCCAGCTCAATACAACCACTGCTACCGCTTCAGCTCCAATCAAGAAGAAGAAGAAGGACTGCGTGATCGTGTAGTCTCGTCCCAGCCACAACGGGTGTTCTGGGCGCGAAGAATGTAACTCATTCTTTTGCTTTCCTCCTGGTCCGAATCGCTACGAAACACAGGGAGGACGACATTCATCGGAAACATCGTCATCATCGTTTACCGTTATCTTAACCTCTTGGCTGTATCTATTCATAAGCTTAATATCCGTAACTCTTCGCGCTTTTGTTGACCTGAACAATCAAGTTGTCTCAACCGCGAGGCTCCTGTTGTTGTCTTTCTTCTTACGCTTCTAATCAATCAAGCAGTGACACATATTGGTCATAATCGTTGAGTAGGTAATCTTTATCTTGCTAACAACCATTGGTACTCCCATTATCATTATCATCATCGTCCATTGTTGTTATTCCCTTGTACTATAGATCATATTATGATTCCACCATACATGCCACATTATATCTTGTTTTCCACATATCATTATCAAATAAGCATTCCAAAGAAAAGACTATCGGACTCTCTGATTCTTCTCGACTCTCATGTTCTGAAAGCACACGCGATTAACAGTACGGATTCTCATTCTAAGGGATAGGCATAGTGTACGCCAAGAAAAGATCGGCACAGAAAGCAATCTCTATTCGAAGCGAGCTAATCCAATTGGCAAGGGGTATCAGACGGAAATGTGTCTGTCTACATCATCCCGTTGAGCATTTCCTAGCGAGCGTCTTCACTTCACGAATTTTCAAGCAACGTCTTTCGTATTGGGTCAACAAAAACCAACCTGACCCACTACAAAGTACAGTCGATGGTAAGGATTAGCCCTCGACTGTGATCGTTTTCGTAAGGCACGATCGACAATGGTTTCAAAGGTTGTTTTCCGAGGATATAAGGGTGTTTGTGAAGTACATACATGCAGAACGTGTGTACAAGTTCTAGGAATGGTGACAATGTTTATTACGGTTTTTTTTTAAAAAAAATCGACAATCGGACCGCTTAGGGACTGGTGATAATAACAACAACAAAGTTGAAATGTGTTGATGGGGTTTTTGATTCTAAGGAGAAGATCGACTCTAAGGAGGATGGCGGGATTTGGAGAGACCGACTTGAGTGGCCACCGAGCGCTGTTCGTTGACGATACGTTTATTGAAATGTTCGACCTAATTTGATAAACGCCGTCCAAAGAAAAACGCAAAAAAATGAACGTTCAGTTAGAATTGGAAAGATTCAGAAAGAAGCAAATGAGGAGAGCAGGAGAGAGACAAACCCAGCTCTTCATACAGAGAGAATGATAGGCCTCGCGCTCAGTCGAGCAGACCTGTTTGGGCTCCTCTCCGGGCACGAAGTAGTACTTATTCCCCGATGTCTGTTGTTCGCTCTGCTGCCGATGGTTGCGCTCGAGACATCCAAAGTATCCGTCCCGGGCCGTCCAGCATTGTGCGCGAGATGTCCGGTTGGGTGGCTCGACGTGGTTCCGGTTGCTTGTGGAGAAAAGCATCTGTGGTATGTAGTCGTATTGGTTGAAGTTGTAGACGGCCTTCCTTCCTTCCTATCTGCTCCTACTCGAACTGAGACCTGAAATTTCCTCAGCGCACCCACGCGCACTCTGCACCAAATCACAATCTGCTATTAGCAAACACTTCAACATGGCACATCCCTTGCCACAATACATATTCTGCTTTGAGGGTCGGGGGAAGTGAATTTCTATTGTGAACCCCCCTATTGCATCGGCTGTGGCAGTGCCCACTGACAAGCCAGCTTCTCCCCCCAAAAGGAGTGCCGCGCAGCGTGCAAGAGTGGTTCACGACTAGGAACAAGAACGAACTATGGAGCTCATGTCTCGCCAGCTGTCCTCGCCCCTCTCCCTTGCGAACACAGCCGGCCGGAAAACGCTCGCCATGTATCCCTTATACAAGATGAAGCTGGTCAATCTTGTGCATGATCGAGTCGTTGGGTTCGGCCGCTACGTCGACCTCACCTGACCTTACCCACCTCCGGCTGCAGCCCGACAAGTCACAAGGAAATCTTCATTGGGTACTGGCGACAAGACCCCCTTCAACGAGCCTCGCCTATCTCAAACAGATTCCCCGGAGCAGATAGAATGTCATAGACAGCCCATGAGCTAACACAAGCTAGCAACCTGCAATGTCGACACTCTAAGAGTCTTCTTCTGTATTGGCTCAAGTATTTGGTGTTTGGCCACCTTCACTGGGGCTTTCCTTGGTAGCACCGCTCTGAGCATACTGGCCCACTGGGCAACACTGTGCTATATCTATGTGTACAATATGTACTGCTGTACAAGAGCTTCAGGTAACAGGGAGGAAGGCATCGATTATACAAGGTTTGTGAAGCAAAAGCATCACTAAGCCTTGGCCCAGATGCTTCAGGCTTAGCTGGGAAGTGGCTTGACAAGAGAAGATAAAAAGGGCATTGTTTCTGCACCTTTTGGAATAATCACCATCATTTTCCCCGTTCCCTCACTACTTGACTTGACTTGAGGAGATGTTTTTCATATTCACAATTGTTGGCTTAGCTTCCATCCCAACCAACATTTTTGCAACTCCTGCCTTGAGCCCTGCTTCAACTTTTAAAAATGGTATCTGTCTTTCTCATTGGATCAAGTGATTTCACAATCATTAATACTGATTTTTTTTTCTTCAATTCCCTTTGCCACATTTCTCATAATTCTTTATAGAAAAGTGCAGCATACAAGAAAGCACAGGATTGTCTCAAGCTTCACACTATCAAAGTTTATTTGATTCATCACCCATTGAATCCCCAAGGAAAAATGAAGAAGATGGGAGGACTTTGAGGACTTTTCCAGGAGCAGAAAATTCTGCACCAAGCTCAATGGGAGTATGGAACTCACATGAAGTGAAGTATCATAGAAAAGGTAAAGAGATTTTTGAATACTTGAAATCATGTGAAAAGTGATGAAAGCAAAATGCTGAGGATAGATTTCTATATAGCTTTTGATGAAAATCTCTACTTTGAAAATATTGGAGGTGAGTTACAATACCCTTATGGTGATCTGGAAAAATTGAATACTGAAATAATCTATATGATAATTTGTTGAGCAGATACAGCTATTGTGTAATTGAATGCGCTTTTCCACATTTTTTTTTTTTTTTCACAATTTTTTTTCCCCCAAGCCCAGATACCCCCCGGCGCACAGAGCCGGGTCTCCCCGGCTGAGCCACCCCTTTACCTGCCTGCACTTGCCCGATCGCCTCCATAGGCCAATCCGAAGATACAACATTTTGGTAAACCCACTCGGTCACTTGGTCTCCTCAATCAACCTGGTAAGCATGTCTCCTCTGAAATTTGTATGCTCCACTTCAGCTTACAGTGTACAATTTGTTCAGGCCCCATGGCAAAACGAAAGTACTCAGCCGACTTCAAATATGCGGCTGTCAGAGCGGCAAAGCAAGGAAAGACGTTGTCCGAAATCAACACATTGTTAGCTGGTTCGGTCAGCAAAGATTCTCTGCGCCGATGGACGAACCTGTACAATACAACCCAAGCCGTTGTTCGTGATCCGTCTACTTACAAAACCCTGGGCCGGCCATTCGAATTAGAGGGTGAAGATCTGACGTTCATCTCAAATATGGTCGCCAATAAACCGACCGTTTATCTTGACGAGATCCAGCGGGCATTAATTGAGGAGAGGGGGGTATCTGTCTGCTTGAAGACGATTGCAAAAACACTCCATGAGCGATTGAATATTTCAAAAAAAACAATCAGGACGGTCAATCGGCGGCAAGACGAAGAAGCCAGAGCATATTATCTCTCTCGGATAAGTTGCATCCCTACGTCGTATCTTGTATTCACTGGTAAATTCATCTTTTTCTTGTTGCTGAGGTGAATAATCTGTCTGACTTGACTTGTATCAACTTGAAGACGAATCGGGGGTCTCACTCGAGGTGGTTGCAAGAAAGCGAGGTTGGGCACCAGTAGGTCAAAGAACACCCAGAGTTCCGCAAGAGAGGAGCACCCATAAGTACAATATCATCCCAGCAATCTCGTCGAGTGGGTTGGTTGCGCACATGGTCCAGGAAGAAACAGTGATACGCACTGACTTTGAATTCTTCCTTGAGCACATCTTGGTGAGTGTAGTTGAGGGTATGATTTTTTTGAGTTCTTGCTGACAAGTCTTTTGCCCTTTTGCCCAGTTGCCCTCGATGAATCCCTTTCCTGGGCCCCGCAGTGTGCTTGTCATGGACAACGCACAAATCCATCACTACGGTCGCATTGAAGAGATTGTCGAGGCACGCGGATGTCTCTTGATCCATCTCCCAGCCTACTCTCCTGACTTGAACCCCATTGAGAAGGGTTTCTCGGTTTACAAGTCCACTCTCAGACGGAACAAAGATTTACTCACAGGAGGTGAAGAAGACTACGACGTTATCGAGAGCTTTATCAGTATGGTTTTTACAGATGTCTTGACGCGTAAACTGTTTATCGGATCCGGTTATCTTGTTAATTAGCCATACTGAACATAGTCGATTGTAATTATTTGCATCTCAAATTATCGAAGCTACATTAGATATTCTTTTGGTGTGTTAGTACGACCTGGCTATCAGGTGTGAAAACATGCAGGCGAGCCAGTAAAATATTGGACATGACATTGTGTCATGTGCCGAGTGTGTTTGATCTTTTTTTGAGGGAGCAGAAGTCGATTGTGATTTCCTTTCATTCAATCGATAGAGACAGGAGTCAGAAGTCAATTATGATTTCATTCCAATCGATTCATAGAGACAGGTGTTGCAATCAAATTTCAATTCAAGTGACATTTCTGAAATATTTAGAGAAATGGAGATTTCAGAGAACAATAGCGATCAACTTTTGTGGTGAAAGACTTAGAGACATGAGGATTGATAGATTTTGTTGAGATCAGCCGTTTTCATAGGCTATTTTTTCAGTTGCAACCAATGTTTGTTAGTCTGCACAGACGATGGGGTGAGAAAGTAAGAGTAAGACAAGAAGCGACCATTGATGACAAATGAAAAAGAGCAAGGGAAGACTTGAACGGAGGCAAAGCCCCATGACTATTTATTAAGACGGCGCTTCTTGAGACTGCGCTCATACTTTTTGATGCGTGAGACAAGTGATCTTGCTTTGGTTTTTTTAACACCTACGGCTTCAAGCTCTTCAGATGTGATGTGTTCAAATTCTTGATAGTGAGTGATTCCGTAATCAGTGAGTGCCTTGTTTATTGATTGACAATTATGATCGACGTGGCAAAAGGTCAAGTAGTCCTTGATATCCGTGCTTTCATCCGATGGGGCTGGCGAGGAAACTGGTTCGGTGTTGGGGCTGACTCCACCAAGATGATGATTGTGTGCAAGTATAAAGTTTGACGGGGAAGCGGAGGGGACTGTCCCATTAGCTAAGATATTTGGCATGCCGGTGTACGCTTGAAAGAAGTTTGGATGAGGGCCCCATCCCCAGGGGGATGGTGGCCAACCCATCTGTGGTGGAAAGCCCCCCATCCCCATTTGAATAGGGGACAAGTTTATGTGATTCGTAGATCCCGAGTTCAATCCAGTGGCGGCCGAGTTTGAAGAAGAGTTGACAATGTTTTCTGGAGGTCTAGTCGGACTAGAGGAACCATTCGGGATGCCCGGGCGATCAGATTCCTCAAGATCTCGAACGCGTGCCGCAGTGCCATTGAATTCGGCTTTCGTTTGGAAGCGGAATGCTGGAGATTTTGGTGGATTGTGGACAGTGACTTCTTGGTTGACAACCTAACAAACATGCATGCACATTACAAATGAGATTGTTTCAGAACCGCACAAACCGTCAAAGAAATGAACTCACCATTGCTCTTGCCCAAAGGCCAATTCAATCCGGACTAAGTGCAATGAACCGCCTCGAATCCGCGGGGTCGACCATCACCGGGAGCTCCATTGAACCGGTCAAGTCTTCCTTTGGCATGTGAGTTGCTCTGATCAACCACATGTTATCGATGATTTTCTTGTTCAAACTTGCGCCAGCTGTTGGCTCGGATGAGGGAGCTTCATCTTCATCGTTGGCTTTTTCCTGCTCGGACAGTTGTTTTAAAGCTTTGTCTCGCTAATATGCAATGATCAGATAATAGAAAGATCATGATCATGAGAGAAGGAAAGCAAGGAGGAGAGTACATACCTCCGCAATTGCCTTGGGATCATTTTGGACCAAGTGGATCTTCGCTTCCCCCTTTCCCTCGGCCACCTCAAGAAACTTCAAAAAGATTTTGGAGTTGTCCAACATCGTCTGGTTTTTCTCAACGAATTGACCACCGTAAGGGATGATTGCATACCAGCAGAGATTCTTGGCCTTCTCTTGCTTCTCTGCGAGTCCGAACACCTGTGACGGTTCCAAAGCACGAAGGATTTCAAGCACGGCTTCTTTGAAAACGTCAAGGTTTGTGTTCGAAGCGTTCCAAGTAAAAGATAGTTTGTTCGGTTTTGAAACAAGTTTGCTGTATTTGTCGTTTGTCTCGGAGGCCACTGCCTTTCGTCCTGCGCGGGTAGTAGTAGGCTTTGGTTTTTTGAGCGCAACATACAATTTGTACTCAATCGAAACCTTGAAATCCTCAGACTTATTCTTGCCCTTGTCCTCAGAGTTTGGTTCTTCCTGCTGTGTGTTTGCCGCCGTGTTCACAACTGATACTGAACGACTTTCCGAAGCAAGAGCGTCATTGTCTGAGGGCTGATCGTCCAACCAATTGGTAATTTGATCCACGCCGTCAAGGTAGGTGGAATAGTCTACAATCAAAGAATCAGACAGCAAACAAGTTTCACAGACATGCAGAGAATGTGAGAAAAACAATAGTCTTGTACATACCTTCAGGCCCCATGGTGGTTGTTAACATTCAGAGTGAGCTTCAGGCAAACGATTGGCCTATGGAGGCGATCGGGCAAGTGCAGGCAGGTAAAGGGGAGGCTCAGCCGGGGAGACCTAGGTCTGTGCGCCGGGGGGTATCTGGGCTCGGGGGAGAAAAAAAATTGTGAAAAAAAAAAAAAAAAAAAATGTGGAAAAGCGCATTCAATTACACAATAGCTGTATATCCCAATTTCATGAAGATTTTGAGAGGCTTGAGGAAAAATTCCATTTGATTTCAAATAAGGATTCAAAACATATACTGGCAAAACAGGCTGAACAATTCCAACTAGATTCTGCATCTGCCAGTAGGATTCATGAGAAAATGGTTGAATTCAAAAAGCTCAGGCTTCATCAACTATTTTCAATCAACCTCAAGGATAGAAAAACCAATTCAAATCCATTGGAATCAAAACATATTCAAATTCATCAATCAAAATTGCTTGAAGAATTGTCACCAGAACTACTTTCACCAAATGGATACAAGAAGTTTGTGAATTCATTTATTCAAGAAGTCAAACAAGTCCTGAATAGCTGCAAGGATGAATACAATAAATTTGAGTTATCTTACAAGAGTCATGAAGATGGAGAGAGGGGAATATTCACCTATATCTGGGATGCTGTTGATCTTGCTCTCAATTATCAATTGATCAATGAGGAACATGTGAGAAGTATTTTCCAAGCAGACAAAAGCTTATGGATGGCAAGCCGTGACAATATTATCAATCTTGCAGCCATGGTAGGAAAAAACATCCAAGAGGATATGTCAAACATAACAGGGCAATGGTTCTATAAGTTAGGCTATAAATTTTTTAGTGGCAAGTCAATTTTCTCCTTGAAATTTTCCTACAGAACAATATGATTTCAGATTCAAGCTTATTTTTTCCTGTTTGTTTTTATATTTAATTAGCCTTCAGTGAAGAAACCTTCCAGATGATCAATCTTCAGTTGTCATTTTACAATTTGAGATGGAAGTTTTATCATGAATATGAAGAAACAAGGGCTTACAAAACAGAAGAATGGCTTTCCTTTGTTGAATCATTTTACCCAGAGAATTACCATCATGCTGGTTTATTCAAATCTCCCCATGAACAAACAGCAAATACAAGCCCAGAGCTACCAAACAGTATTGAAGCTGATGTGAAAAACCTTAGAAATCTTCTAATTTTCACAGTAAAATTTGACAACCACTTCAATATGTTTACCAGTGATGTATGTCAAATCTTGGATAGCATTCAAACCATATTCCCAGGGATCATAAGGAAATCATTTTTAATGGATTACAAGAAAACAAGATCTCATTTTCACTGTTTTAATTCTATTTTTCCACAAGTATCAAAATCCAAAGAAAAAGAAATAAATGATTTTGAACTTCTTCTCAAAGGACTCCTAGAAAGGTCAAGGTCTTCATATTTCCATAGGATGAAACTTGCCTTTTCAAGAATAAAGCAAGAGAATCCTGAAATCCTGGAAGTATACAACAAATATCAAAATGAAGAATCACAATCCAAAGTATACACAGGCATACACCCAAAAGGAAATGATGATTATATGAGATACCTCCAGAATTTTAGAATATACATACAGAACAAGGATTATTCTTAAACATTTGAGTTTCACAAAAACAAGAAATCTAAAGAGAAACAAAAGGATCTCTAAAGCCAAAAAATGTTGTTATCATCATAAATTTAAATGTTGGTCACTTCATCAAGTTATTCTTTGCTTGTTCATTACAACCTTCATTTCAAAATAGAAGCACACTCATGGGAATTATTCCCTCCAACCATTTTTAAAAAAAAATTGAATAACTTGAAATCTGGATTTGTCTCTTATTAAATATCCATCATCTGTCTGTTAAATTTTTTATTTTCCTCTCCCACTAACCAGGATAAGCTAGTAGATATTAAGTTCCTCATATATATTCAAGCATTGGGTTTGGAATATATTGATGTTTCTTTCTTTCCCTGTCTGTTTTTCTTCAGCTTGCATGTTATTTTTTCTGCATTGGGTTTCATGAGATTCTTCCTCCTATTTTCTGAGAAATCATGAGTGAAGGGATATTCACAAAAAAATAAACTTGCTTTTTCACCAGACCAACTGAGCTCTTTGTAAAAGAGCTTCCCTTTGCAGCAGATTCAAAATTCCAGTTGGAAATCAGTCTTCATGTGAGACCCTTCCTATGCTAAATTTGAAACACCTCAATTGTGTTCTTTTTACTGAGCCAGATGCTTGTCCTGATGCAAGGATGAGATTCTGGTCTAAAAATATGGGCCTCTGATATCATGGTTGAAGCAGGTTGCAAACAATTTAGACCTAGTTCAGCTTGATTGGCTTAGACCCAAGATGTAGGACATCCTCACACTCATTGAGAGGACCCCTCCCCCCTCCTCAAAAAGGAGCATTCATCTAAGGCCCAAAACAGAATTTGTACCTTATGAAAGCGTTAATATGATGATTCTTGTAACAATAAGAGTGAAACAAAAGGCTGACAAGGACTGACAAGCAAGGATGAAAAAAAGGCAAAGGTACCAAGTAATTGTGTGGACCTTGTAAGAAAGATTACAACTTTGTAACAACAAAGATCTAATTTTTTGCATCATCATTAATATTAATAGTATTATTATTATTATTATATATAGAACAGATACACACAACACCCACAAAAACAATTTGACGGAGAAAATAACAACAACAATCATATAAGTAATTCCCACATATGTATAACCTCGCCCCTCCTCCACCCCCCCAAAAAAAGAAAGAAAAAGGAAACGATCCAACAAACGATGAAGAAAAAGAAAAGAGGAACAACAACAACAGTCATGGTTTTATATATAAACTGTATACCTTTTTTTTTGTACGATTATTATTGATAAGAACACTAACAAAAGTATATGAACGATATTTCTTTGATTTTTTTCGGAAAAAAAGAAAGTACCAATGATCAACGAGAGAGAGCGAAAGAGAAAGAAAGTATTAACAAGAAAGAGGGAAAAAGATGGGAGAAGGAATGAGGATTGGAGGGATCAATCGGGCAAGCCCATCTCGACTTTGATCTGGTCGACGAACTTATCTCTGAGACTGACGATGAGGGAGTTCTTGATATCGGCGAAGTCGACGGTAGCGACGTTGATGAGCAGGTCGGCATGATGCGAGCTCAAGGTCATTGGCCCACGCATGTAGGCGTACAGCGACGCCGGCGAGTCATACGACAGGATCGTCGTTTGGTTGATCTTCAGAAGCGCCAATGAGATCCGGAATAGTAATAGACTACCATCGATTAGGAATAGGTCAAATACTCGACTGTGTGGGGTTTTTTTTTGAACCATCAAATATTCTCATCTTGTTTATTAGCCTCAAACGGTTCAGAATTCATCCCAAGAAGAGAGAAGAAAAAAAGAATAAATCTTACAGCAGGGTTTGAATGGGCAACGCATCAGCAAACAGGGACAAGAACCATCCGAACCTAAGTATAAGTCAAGACCGTCAGTCAATCGTGTATTTAGTTACATGGATCGAGAAAAATTCGACGAACGTGATAGCGGGCAATTCGACATCCAAAGCGTCGAAATGGTCAGCCAATTCAGCAAGATATTTACTGACGAGCACTTTAAGCACTCGTTGATCGGCCTGGGAGGTGAGTAGATGAGAGGTATAGTAATGCGAGGGGAGGATTTTCTGAGAATGAAATGAAGAAAACACGTCGATGGCTCAACAATTGATCAATATATATTCAAGACGAGGAGAGGAAGAAAAAAAAAAAAAAACTTACGTCGACGATACAGACGAGGATCCAGAAGGCATCTTCCTCGCTAGGAATCGTCAAAAGCAACGTGGCAGCGACCATGTTCATGCCCTGTAATGTGGAAAAGGAAGAGCTCGAGCGTGAGTGGTAAGGTCGCTCAGAAACCACAGAGGAGGGGATCAGGAAAGACCGGTAACCAACCTGACAATATCCAACCACCGGATTGTGCCATGACATCGCCGCCAGGACTCTTCTCAACTTACTCACTCCAGGCCCGTCGCCTCCAAAGTAAACGTTCGTGGGAAGAGTTCTACAGACATTCGACGATCAGAATGGGATGGAATAAAGTGATGATGTACGAGAGAGGATGAGAGTGAAAATTACCGAGTGACGTCGCATTCGATCTGGTTGAGACATAGCCCCTCTTCACCGTCGTGCAGATTGAGTAAATCGTGATAGTAACCAGGTTCTTTTAATTCGCTAGCCCCAGAGCACTCCAGCCAGATCTTAGGCCGCAAGCTGATAGGAATACCCTGGATGACCAGTGCCTTGAACTCCTTCCATTCGTCCTTGAGCGCCTTCTTATTGTTGTCATTAGAGAGGCCCATCGAGGCTATTCCGATAAGGTTATCGTCATGACAGGTGATCAGATCCCGAGCCCTCTCGGTGGACTCTCCAAGCGATTGCCGCTTCGAGCCCAAGTGCCCGCCGGTTGAATGAGGTGCCTTGGGCATCACCCCCGTCGGAGAGCTCGCACTCCCGCTCGAACTGCCACCCTGTCGCGGCACGGTCCCGAGGAACGCTCCGACCGATGCTGGTGAGACCGCGCCGGTACCTTGGATTGTCATCTTGTTCCCTACACTGGGATCACTGATTGGACTGGGAGACAGGATGTGCGGACTGGAAGAGTTTGAAACTCTCATCAGTTTCATTCGACGCTTCGTGATAAACTGTCCCCAGGCTTCCATTTGTTTCCTTTCTAGCATGTTTTGCATTTCGTTCAACTGGAAAAGAAGCCTTCGGATGCTCTGGGTTGATGACTCGACCACCGGATCAATCGAGGGGGCTTGATTGGTAAGACTAGTGTCCGCTGAGTCCGCCGTCGAGCTTTGAAGATCTTTGCCAGCAGGTTTTATCGCTGGCGAGAGGCCCAACGCTTCGCGTAAAGAGGACAGTTCGGCTTCTACATCAACTTGTGATTTGATTGGTAGCGCGGTTGTCATCATCGGTGTATGGTCGAGGTCAGAGCCCTCGACACTGGCATCACAACGTGTTGAGTTAAATTTACTGTTCTCTTCAGTAGGGGCCAGAGAGAGGACACGTGAGGAGGGTGAATTGAAAGAAGTCGATGAAGTCTCACTTGAAAGAGCTGGATCCATCGGAGGCTCGGGAGGATGTATCGGATCTTCTGTTGAGGATTGAGGCGGTTCAGAAGGATGTTGCTCTTCCAAAGCAGCCAGTCGTTCCTTTGCCAGCTGCTTTTTCTTGTCTCTAGACTTTCGCATTAACTTCAGGCCGTACTTGACATCGACGATGAACCCAAAACGATCGACAATGGGTTCGTCATCTGCGGCGCCCGGAGACGGACCAGGGGGCGCATCTAAGCCTCGAGCCTCTTCGTCGCGA